TTTGTGCAGATATCGTGGGCCATATAATCTCATCACATACTTTAAAATTTTGTGAAAGCTAGTTCGTGCAACACATCTGGATGTCGAGCCCCTCACCAAGCCCACACCCACCGGCCTTACAACCTTAACATTTGCTTTGTAATCCATAATATCTTTTAAAAATTATTGACTTTCATTACTTCATTACTTCATATTTAGTTGAGAAATATGTATTTTACAACCTAAAAATATTTTTTGAGTTCTTCAATAATTTTATTTTGAAGTCAATTAATGTTAAGAGTTTTATTGATATGACTATGTTATCTTAAAAAAATATCTATTATTTTTTGAGTAAAAACGTTGTTGAAATTTTAGTAGACTTTAGTTTATAAAATAAGCATTATATACTTTGTTTAATATATATATATATATATATATATATATATATATATATATATATATATATATATATATATATATATATATATATAGTTAGTTAGATTCATGTGAGACGACATAATTTTGTGAGACTATAACACACATTTTTTTATTTTTTTTATTTATTTTTTTAGTTAATTTAAGTTCCGAAAATAATATTTAAAAAAAGAATTCTCAGATTTTTCCATTTATTTTGCATTTGAAAATTATTTTTTAGAATATGTACAATATAATATTCTATTAGAATATTTCACGTATTTTTTAAAAACAAAACGGGATTTTTTTTTATTTTTTTTTAGTTAATTCACGTTCCGAAAATAATATTTAAAAAAATAATAATAATAATAACTTTTAGATTTTTCCATTTATTTTGCATTTTAAAATTATTTTTTAGAATATGTCAGTGTAATATTCTATTAGAATATTCCACGTATTAAAAAAAAAAAAAAAGAAAAGAAAACCGGATTTTTTTATTATTTTTTCATTTATTTTGCATTTTAAAATTAATTTTAGATTTGGTCTCACAAAATTAGAATGGTGTCAAATGAACCTGAACTTATATATATATATATATATATATATATATATATATATATATATATATATATATATATATATATATATATATATATATATATATATATACCATCTTATAAAGGGTTTATCTTTGTGGGCCCTCTATAGTTTAAGACATTTATCTTAAAAATCATGGAAATCTATTATAGACCTTTGGATCTAAAATGAAGGGTCATGATTTTGATATTTGTAATCTGTGTGAAATTGTTTGAACCAATAGGAAACAACAAACACAAATATACGGATCCTTGTATTCATTATGCTCTAATTTACAACCGGATTTTTTATGTCAGTGTAATATTCTCTTAGAATATTCCACGTATTAAAAAAAAAAGAAAAGAAAAGAAAACCGGATTTTTTTTATTATTTTTTCATTTATTTTGCATTTTAAAATTAATTTTAGATTTGGTCTCACAAAATTAGAATGGTGTCAAATGAACCTGAACTTATATATATATATATATATATATATATATATATATATATATATATATATATATATATACCATCTTATAAAGGGTTTATCTTTGTGGGCCCTATATAGTTTAAGACATTTATCTTAAAAATCATGGAAATCTATTATAGACCTTTGGATCTAAAATGAAGGGTCATGATTTTGATATTTGTAATCTGTGTGAAATTGTTTGAACCAATAGGAAACAACAAACACAAATATACGGATCCTTGTATTCATTATGCTCTAATTTACAACCTAATCTTCTTTCCTTTCTTATTCCGCCGTTTCCATATCGTGATAGCAAAAGATCTCTCCTCCTCCTCTCTTAATCCATTCGTCATCTACATCTATCTTGATCCAGTTGCCATTATACGGATCCTTTCGCCTTTTAAATCTCTCTTAATCCAGTCGCCATTACACGGATTATTGGTTAATTGTTTCGATTTCTCGTGCTATGGTTTATATAATCTCGAAGTTTTTGAAGATTCTGTGGAACAAACGATTGAAAGGTTTGTTTTTTTGATAACTTGGTTTGGTTTTTGAGTTTTGTTCTCCAGAATTTTGAACGAACAACATTAGCCACAAAAAAATACCAAAATCCCCTATCTCATGTCCTGTGCTAACCGATTTTGCTTGTTTTTTTCAATTTCATGTGTTAGGGTTAATACAATCCCAGAGTTTTCGAACATTGTGCAGAACAAATGATAGAAAGGTTTGTTTTTTTTATAACTTGTTTCGGTTTTTGAGTTTTGTTCTCCATAATTCAAAAAGATCGCCAAAACCGCGTACCTTTTATCCTGTTTTAACAGATTTTGGTGTTGCTTGCGATTCCATGTCATAGGGCTCACAATTTTGAGGTTTTCGATCATGCAGTACATACTAGAGAAAGGTTCGTTTTTGTTTAAAGGATAGAAAGGTTCCTTTTTTTATAACTTGTTTCGGTTTTTGAATTTTGTTCTCCAGAATTCGTTTGTCTTGTTTTAACCGATTTTGGTGTTGCTTGCGATTCCATGTGCTAGGGCTCACAATCTTGAGGTTTTCGATCTGCAATACAAACGGGAGAAAGATTCGTTTTTGTTTCTAACTTGGTTTGATTTTTCAGTTTTCTTCTCCATAATAATGAACAAACTTCATTAGCCACAAAAATCGTTTTTTTTTTTCAGGTCTAAAAAACTGGAACGGTGCATCCCATGGATGTTGAACGAAACTCTGATTTTACTTTGTGTTTTAGAATATTACTAGTTTATATTTCCGTTGCGTTTTTATTTGTTGAACGAACCATTTCAGCATTTTCTTTTTCTATCTATTTACACATAAAAATTCTGATTTTGTGATTTTTTATTCTATTGTATATATGAAATGCAAGCAGATCAAGAAGGAATGATATCATATTTGCACCAACAAACTTTTATGTTATTTAGGTATAATTATTAGTGTTTATTTAACTTCAATTAAACTTTCATGTTATATACATTCATGATTAACTCATAGTTTATGGTTTTTTGTCATATATGATGAAAAGGTATGATTAATTGTTTAATAAATACTTATTAAAGGTAGTTGATATTTTTCTAAACTCTTCACATATTTGTTGAGGTTTTTTTCTATATGATATCATTATAGAATTTAAAGTTTTAATTAAATCAAATGTTTATGAAACTTTTTTACCCTTAGAAATTGCATTGTACTTATATATATATATATATATATATATATATATATATATATATATATATATATATATATATATATATATATATGATTGTATTTTGTTTTAAAATATTATTTACCAAATAGGTGTAGTCTTAAAAATATTTACCAAATAAGTGTAGTTTCAAAGTTTATATTTCTTCTAAAACTTTCAGGGTATTAAAATTAATTATAAGAGTTTAATTATAAGGACTATTAAAATTAATATTTCAAATTATTATAGTGGCTATGTAATTCAGATGATTTTGAATGATGGTCCTGAAGCCTTACTTTTTAAACTCGCACGATCAATTCAAGAGAAATGGATCATATATGTATTTTGTGTTAAATATCTAAGCCAATGGGGGGATAAGTATAAACTTTTCACTTAAAATCATTTAACAAGTTAATTATTTTTATTATCCATATGAAGTATTAATGTATAAAAAATAATTTTAGTGAACTTTTTGGATTCTACATCCATTTCGAGGGTTGCATTTGAGCCGGTTATGGCAGAAGCAAATGCTATTAGGGTGATTTATGGATGATATAATAATGTATTTCAATTTTAAAAATAAACAACTTAGAACGTTTGTTGGTGATTTGTTTATGTAAGAATATTGGCTATTGGTATTTTGTTGGTGAAACCTTAATATATCTATTATGTTGCAATTTATTATCTTTGATCTATATTATTCAAGTATTGAACAAATTTATGTATTGAGTTGGTAGATATAATATGCTTTTTATTTATGCTTTATAAACTTATAGTGTGAAATGGGGACCCAAGATAGTGAAAATGAAAATGGCGATTCGATGCAAATTTCTTTAGATATCGAAAAAGGTATGCATAATATATTAATGATAATCATATATTGTTTTTTCTTAATTTGAACTAAAAAACTTATAAGAAAAAGGATTATATTATTAATATTATTGCAGAAAGAAGAAAACGATACAACAAAGAATATTAGAAAACACGATTTACGCAAAACAAAAAGCAAAAGGTTGTTATTTGTGAGGAACCCCAAAGTAGTGCAGAAAAATGAAAAAAGCTAATCGTGAATATTATGTACGAATTAAGACCAAAAAACAATTAGAAAATGGACCATTACAAAACTTGGAAAACCAATGTAGTGGTGGAATAATGTTATCCGCAAATAACCATTCAACCTCACATGGTAATCGAACCACATACAAAGAAAATATTATGTCGCGTAGTAAGGATAAAGCTGCTCAAAATAGGAAAGATACTAACAAAAAGTATTATGAACACAACAAAGAAAAAAGTAGAATGCTTGAAAGTGATCACCAACAAAGAAACAATGAAAGTATATTTGCTACTGTAGAGGTCATTCACAAACATCATGTTATATGTGCTAAAGAAAACAACCAAATATATTCGGGGTTAACACACGAAACATTACATGGTTAGTCCTAATTTAATTCTACAACAAATTTTAGTATAAACCATCATTATTTAAAATTACAATTACATCTTTTTTATATTTAATTTAAAATAGTTATTTTTTCATATATTATAGAAGTTAGAGGTTGTAGCGAGGTCCATGTCAATCAAGTAATTCCAGATGACATTCTTCTAGAGATTCCATACCATTCTATTTTCGATGGTATCCCTGAAGTACATTCTATTTTGGAGGGAAGTAATATATGTGTTCATTGTGGAGCCAAACGGTTCAAACATGAATTCGCTACTTTTTGTTGCATGAGTGGGAAAACAAAGTTGGCATCTTCCCAAATTCCTAATGAGTTATATCGTCTTTTTACATCAAAAGAGGAGTCAAACAAAATATTTAGAGATAATATACGTCCTTACAATACAAACTTTTCTTTCACATCCATGGGAGTAGAGTTGGATGATGATTTGAGCAATATGAAATCCGGAGTATATACATTTTGTGCAAACGGAGCAATATATCACATAATTGATCAGTTAGTACCGAGGGATGGATTACCAAGGTACTTACAATTGTATTTCTATGATTCTGAAACCGACTTTACACATAGACTTCAATGGCCAAATATTGATCGAAATATCATTAAAGTGTTGTTGGGCGTTCTTTCAACAAATCTGTATGCTACAACGTTTCGAAGCCTTCGTGAGCTAGGACCTCTTGATAACTATAGAGTTAGTTTGAACGCATCAGTGGAACTTCACCAAAGGGTATACAATCGGCCGACCACATCTAAGGTTTGGATATAATAATTATTTCTCTTAATTTCAAGTCATCATATCAGTTATCGTATTACGTATTCACCATACTAAAATCACAAATTATATAGGTTGCTGGTATTTGGGTAGAAGGTAATGACAACATAACAACATATAAAAGAAGCATTGTTGTATACGGGAGATCTGACTATAGTACACAAATTCAACCTTACAAAGGTTGTTATGATCCTTTGTCTTATCCATTATTCTTTCCTAATGGTGAGTCTGGTTGGCATGCAAAAATAGCAAGGGATGGGGTGTCCATCAATGAAGTTGTGGGTAATGAAGAAAATATTGTGGATGATTTAGAAGGTACATACATTTTTGAAATATGAAAATGAATGATTTCGGTAAATTATACATAAATACAAAATTTACATGTTTCTAACATTACCCTTATGCAGGGGCTAAGTCAAAGAAGGGTAGGAATACCGTAACAATGCGTGAGTACTACTGTTACAAATTCCAGATTCGTTCATCTAAAAATTTAATTCTATTGGGAAGAAGATTGCTACAACAATTTGTGGTAGATATGTACATAAAGATCGAGACTTCACGCTTGCTTTTTTGTAAGCTAAACCAAAAGAAAATAAGATCGGACCTTTACCAAGGAAGTGTTGACCGTGTCAATGCCGGTGAAGTTGAACCAAGTATAGTCGGCCAACGGATAGTCTTACTTGCATCTTTCATTGGTGGACCACATGACATGCGATGAAGTTTCCTAGATGCAATGACGTTAGTTCAAGATGAAGGAAAGCCTGATATATTGCTTACAGTGACATGCAATCCAAACTGGCCAAAAATTGTTGATGATTTGAAACTCGAGCAAAGTGCACAAGATCGACCAGACCTTGTATCAAGAATGTTTCGTGCAAAATTAGAGAATCTAAAGGACCAACTTCTAAAGCACCATATCCTAGGTGTGGTTCGAGCATATGTTTATATGGTGGAGTTTCAAAAGTGTGGTTTACCACATGCACATTTCCTCATGATAATGAGACCAGAACACAAGATGACAAATGCTAACCATTATGAAAAAATGGTTGTTGGATTAATATCTAAGTCTATAAGTATAATTGGTGAGACTTGACCCGACCCGGCATCGTCCATTTGGGTTGCATGGCATCATGCATTTGGATAGACTATAATGAAAGAAATAACACTTAAGGTTTGTTAATATAATATAAGTTCTAATATATTAATAAGATTATTTAATTTGTATTGATCAAGAATTAATCTAGGATGAATTAAGTGATATAAAGAAGACTAATTAAATATATGGGTTGATTGTGTAAATCATCCACACTTGTATAGTGGGCTAATGCTTCATGGATTGTCAAGATGGGCTAAAACCCATAAGATGCTCCATGGATGCTCCATGGTGTATTTGAATCCATGGATCCAAGGAAATGGAAAGTCATGACAATTAGGGTTTACCCTAATTATCACTAACTATATAATCATCTTATTGTTGACAAAATCGGCCACTATGAGTGAATAGAAAGGGCTAGCCGATTTCATGAACTGTGTATGTTCTCTCAAGTTATTCCAAGTGTATTTGGTGTTATGTGAACCATTTGAGGTGTCACACTTGGGGCACTAGGCACTCAAGCTTCATGAAGACATTCTACATCAAAGAGGTATGTAATTGTAACTTGATATATTCATATGAATCAATGTTATTATGCTAGTTAGGATGAATACCTTCGAAAGATCATATTTGCATGTATAATAGAGAAAACATAGATCCAAGGTATTTAGGGTTGCATGTACACTTAGGAGTGTTAGAATGTTCAAAACCCAATAGTGGTATCAGAGCCACAGGTTGTTTTCTGTTATATTGATGCAAATATTTTATTTTCAAAGTTGAAAATAAAGGAAAAAAACATGAAGTTTGTCAAATTTTAAGATAATTACTTGTTCTTGTGAAAAACTAATTATTTGTAAAATTTGAATAATTTACTATATGAGTTGAATTAGGTCAAATTAGTAAATGATAAAATGATATGATTATTTTATTAGTTTTAAAAGTTTGATCTAAAGAGTTTTATTTTTTGAAACCTCCATAAGTTATGGATATGAAAATGTTTTAAAAAAAAATTCATTCAAAGTTTTTATGGAGTTACAAAATTTGGTGTTAATGTTTTAAAGAATTCCATAACTTAAGAATAAGTTATGGATCACCAAAACTTTTTTGTGCTACCTTGTTTTATGAGTGAATTTAGATTAATGAAAAAAATTATGTGATAGTTGGTTTTAATCCAAATTAATCCAAAAGAAGTTCATAAAATGTGTTTATGTAACTTAAAAGTCACATTTATGAATCTTAAAACTCATAAAAGTTAACATATGTTACAAAATGAAGAGTCTTTTTCCTCATTAAATTGTTTTATGACTCCATAACTTGTCCTCAAGTTATGGATGTTGAAGTGTCTCTTCATTAATGTTTTTAAAACTTTAATTAAACTAGAGTTTTGAATAGTTTCAAAGACTTGCCCTAAATTTTTGGAATTTGTAAAGTTTTCCCCATGAATACTTTAATTCCAAGTTAAGCCCTTAAAATTTTAAAAGTTAAAATGCAACCCTTATAATATATAATATTATAAGTTAATAATATATATATATATATATATATATATATATATATATATATATATATATATAAGAGTAAAGCCAGTCTTAGCGTGCGTAGGCCTCATTCATGCAACCCTTATAATATATAATATTATAAGTTAATAATAATAATAATATATATATATATATATATATATATATAAGCGTAAAGTCAGTCTTACCGTGAATAGGCCTCATTCATGAAGTCGGTCTATAAGGGGATATAAGGATACTGCCTATAAAATGGCAGTTTAATGGGTGTCCACTTTCACCCACCGCTTCCTTGACCGGTGGAGGGTTGTTAGCCGAATAGGTAGGACAAGGACTAGAATTCTCCCTTCATTAAAAGTATTAATGATAAATACTATGTAACTAAACTCTTATAAATACCCAATCTTAGTTACTTAGAAAAATGTGAATAACGTACTAATACATGAAATTACACTTTGCACTTTGTATAAGTCGGTTAGTGGAGCGTGTGTGGTTAACCGGCACACTAACTCGTATTTAACAAGGAAGGCAAAGGGTAACTTAATGTTTATCATAGTATTGATGGAGCGTGTGTGGTTAACCGACACATCGATTAAGGGGTAAACACTTAAGGGTACCAAGTAATTCGCATGGTTACTTCACACCTTGTTTAGTGATCCTCGGCATCCCGGTCACAAAACCTGAAGGGAACACTCGAGATTGAAACATGCCATTGAAAAGTTCAATGAATCTCAAAAGATCTAGGAGTTTCAAATCCAATTAAAACCTAATAATAAATTTCGTTTATCTTGGTGGAAATTGGTAAATCGTCATTTACCTACCTTCAAATATTTTATAGCTTGGATTACGGCATCCCTCTTCTAAGTTATAAAATAGTTTGTTGGGTCCTAGCCTTAATATTTCATATTGGGTGTCATATTAAGGACTTTAGATCAACTATCTTGAATATCTCCAAAAAGATGTCTAAGTTCAGACATCTATGATCTTCCCAAATCTCGTGGAACTTTACTTCTTTCACCACCTCCAATTATTCTCCGTAACCCACAAGTTCTTGAAAAGTTTAAGGTCACTCAATCCCTATTGGCAAGCAAGGTCTATGTGTGATCACATCTTGGAGATGAAGTCACGTATTGACAAGCCGGGAGAGTTGGGTGTCAAAGTCTAGAGGAAGTGGATGTTCAATCACTTTCTAATTCACATAGATAATTTAATCATCATTATCACCCTGAAACGTTTACATGCTAGTTCTAATACCGTCGACATACGCTTAGAATCCTAAAAACATAAGGTTTCCAGATCCGGTCGGCAACAGACCATAGATCCGAACAAATAATATCATATATGGCAACATATAACATTTAGCACATAAAAGCATTGTAGGCAACATTCCTAAAATAAACTAGTGTTTGTGTCTAAAATATAGCAGACACGCATCTAACAATCTCCACTTAGCATTTTAAGTTTAAGTGTAGAAATCCTAAAAATTCCTAGTTCGCTTAAACTAATGCTCTCAAATATACTTTGACACCCCCAAAATCTCGGCCAGAAAAGACTGATTTCATTTATGATTATTAAAATAATTTCAGAGTAAATCCTTTTGATTTAAAAGAGTTGCAGAATTGGTTCCCAAAAACAAAATATGATAAGATAATATTTATCAAAGCATTTCATCAAGAGATGCATTTTCATTATATAATCAAAACACGGGATGTCATGTACCGATACAGACCATAAAGCATAAACGATAACATTACAAATCATTCAACAAATATATACATATGCAGACTTGTAAACAAAACAACTTGATGATTCATCCATCTGATGCCCTTGCGCCACTTCCTGTAATACAAATAAAATTGAGTGGGTCAGGCTTAGGAGCCTGGTGAGCATATAGAGTTTTCAACCCACAATAAATAATTATATTTAATTTCACCAACCAACAATAACCCGATTACCCATTCCCGTTATCCTCACTTTATGTCCCTAAAACAACATCTATCACAAGGGACCTAATCTAGGATTTTCATCGGGATGGATATTACTGCTAAGGGGTTTCGTCAACAATAGATATCCTAAAGGCAACCATGAGGGGGATAGAGTACACCGGTAAACACATCGTTCACAAAACCTACAGGTTATGAACCTACTAGCCTTCCACTGGAATGTCTAGAAAGAGTATGTGGTTGTCATTCATACTTTGCTAGATCACTAGGTCAACATCTACAACATCGAGGCCTCTCATCTGTTTATTACACAACAACTATCTATCCATGTTCTACCCAACATATTAGTAGATAAAATATATATTTTTATACATAGTTTAAAACATGTATAACTTGTTCAATCAATATATATTCCACATAACAAATGAGGCACACACACATAACACGTATTCCATAGAGAATAAATCAGATCTATGAGATAGAAGAAAGTGAATATATATTCACACATATAACAACAAAATATACACATAACACGTATTTTATATAAAATACTTCATAATTAAGCGTTAGAAGAAAGTAACTACACACTCACTTGATCAGAAGATGATCGGACAACACTACGACTTGCGGAAGTAGTGTTCTTCAGTAGATCTGGAAGATCTTCACAAAAACAGGTCTTCTCGCGAGCAAAGCTTCGACTCGGGAATTGCACTTCTTGGGATCTTCGGGGCTTCGGGATACTTCTGGCATGCAAAATGATGCAAAACGGGAGAAAGAGAAGAGAAATTGGCAAAAGAAGTATGTTGCCCTTGCATACCTTTTATAGAGGCTGAGCCTCGCACATACGTTGGGTGTACTCAGTTACGCGGGGCATACGTGACCAAAAACGTCACTGCATGCATCATCAGTGCACTCGAGTCCGAGGTAGTGCATGCATCGGGGTACGTTGGGCGTAACCCGGATAAGTGTGGTGACTCCCCTTCTGATAATGTCGGATTTAATAATTAAATTTATATTTTAATTAATTAAAAAACTTCAAAAATTCAAATCTTCTTCATACGAACTCCGTTTTCGACGTTCTTTATATCCACGCGTAGGTGAGAGTACGCTCTAGAATTTTTGTTTAGACTCCATCGGCTAGTTTTGAGTTTTATTTTTATTATTTATT